GCGCGAACTTCCACGTTTGGGTATTCATCTGAACAGTAACCACCTGTGTACATAATTCTCTGTGCACATTCTTGATCAAGTTTCAGTTGAATCTGAAAAAAATATGCAGAACTTCATCTTGTATCAGGTACCATTTTAGGTGCTGGAGAGAGAGAGAGAGAGAGAGAGAAAAACACCCTGTTCCTGCCCTTGAAAAGTTTCCTCTTACTTGCCAATTCTAAATATTTGGTAGTAGATCCTCGTGGCTTTATGTGGAGTTGGATTCTGAGGACATGTCGAGGCTCATTGAAAAGCCATGATTGATTAGAGATGTCTGCCACAGACATGGGATGTGGGGCTTGTAGCAAGTATGTCATTTATTTGCCAGAATCAGCATATTACACCCAAGATGACTCTTTGCAGTTCCGGGTTCAATGTCCTTATTTTATAGCTGGGTAAACCATGATAGAAAAGGAAAGGGAGTTGTGTAAGCAGGGCTGAGTTTAGAGTGAAGGAAGCAAGGCGCCTAGGGTGCAAAACGTAAGGAGGCGCTTACTCTCAAATCTGTGTGAATGCCCCCCACCTCACTTGCCTGATCCTGAGACTGAGTGCCTCCTTAAATTGTGTGCCCTAGGGACACAATTTGTTTCACCTTAATCTTGGCCCTGACTTAAAGTCACTTTTAAAAGAATCACCATACACCTTAGGTGGAGACAAAGAAAGTTCAGTGGCTTTATTTATTAGTGTTTGTCAGACTGAAATGAATAGAAATCAACTGAAGCTTAAGAAAAATGGGAATGGGGTGTCAAAGAACCCAAGGGCAGGGGTTTAAGTAGGGTGAAGAAAGTTCTAGAACTGGGACTCTGGAGAGAATTCTACCTCTGTTACTCACACTTACTTTCATTATTCTTTCTGAGCTGAGTGGCTTTCCCTGCTCCACCAGTTACCAACTCTGTGCATTTGGGAAATTGGCTTGTTTTTTTCATCTATACAATAAGAATATTATTAATTACTTCCTTACCTCCTTACCGTATAAGGTTGTAAGGAGCAATGTAGGTAAACCATTCAAGTGGCTGACATAGAGATATTGTCACCACCACCACCACAGCCATCACCATTGTCATCACCATGTTATCACCACCATTATCATCATCATCATCATCACCTCCATTATCATCATCACCACCACCACCACCATCATCATCATCATCATCACCTCCATTATCATCATCACCACCACCACCACCATCATCATCATCATCATCACCGCCATTATCACCATCACCACCATCACCACCACCACCACAGCCATCACCATTGTCATCACCATCATTACACTGGTCTACATCATCTTCATCACCATTATCATCATCCAAATTCCATGGAAAAGCACTCTAATTTGCCCAGATTGGGCTCATTCTGATCTAATTAATCATGGCCGTGTTAGGTGTGGACCTTCTGGGATCCATTCCCTGTTGATTGTTGGCCATTGGTGGTTAAGGGTATGAGCAAGGCAGACACTCCCAGAGTTCTGAAGTATTCTCTGGTTTGGCTTTGATGGCACAGCACTGAGGAGAGTGGAGGGTTCTCTTCTGCTCCACTTTGATCTGTTACTCAACCAACCCCCTCACCTGTTGAAGACCCCAACAAGGGTTCAGTCTGCTCTCAGCATGCCTGCCTAGCTGCAGGTTTTGATGTTCAAGCCCATTCACTGAGAGCTGCAGTCTAGGGGGTGCCACTGAGCCCATTACATCCAGGTATAGGTAGGTTTTTGTGATGCAGGGGTCGCAGGAGTGAAAGGACAGCAGGATCGGGGAAGGTCTGAAGCTTTGAGTATTGTTGAATCATGATGGAGGTGGGGGAAGAGGAGAAACCCAAAACCTGGGTAGAATGAGGACCCAGGAAGGGAAGACAGCAACAGAATGTACGAGGGAGCCTGGAATCCAGTGGCTTTGGCTGACGGTGAAAAAGAAGGAGAAAAAGGAGGGAGGAAGAGGAGGAGGAGAGGCGTGAAAAGGAAGCAGTAGCAGTAGCTGATGAAAAGGAAAGGGTGATGAAGCTGTGGCCAATGATGATACATCAGTGATGCTGACAATGATGAGGATGAGGATGGAGATGTTTCTGAGGGACTCTTGGCTCTGGGGAAGCCACTTTCTAATTAACACAGACCTCTGGCAATGGCCTCCTTTCCCCCATCCAGCTGTATTATAATACACACCTGCCCTCTGCCCCATCACCCAGTCCCCCCTCCCTCAAGAAGAAAAGAAAGGACACCGGGACCCCCCCACCCCCAGCAGCAATCCCAGAGTTCTGGTTCAAAGGAGGGTGCTCGGGCTTGGAGAGCTCTGCCCTGCGGTGGAAAGGGGAGGGGGCTTAGGGGCAGCTGGTAAATCATTCACCCGTGTGGCTGGATGGAGGAAATTACTGATCCCCTATCACCCACCCCTGGAGGTGGGGATGGGGCCCCCGTGACATGGGCTTCCCAGGGCTGGAAGACATGGTAGCGGCTTTACTTCCAGTGCTGATATGAATGGCCCTCGCTTCTTCCTTCGTCCAAGAAAGCCGTGGGGAAGATAACTAAAAACTAACTCCCACGGACTGAGGGACTTGTGTTTACCGGGTGCTCTGCACAGCTTTTCCAGAATGTATCATTCTCACAGGAACTCTATGAGAAAGTTGCTTTTATTCAGCCGAAGCTAATGAAATCACTGACATTCAAACATCACTGAAGTGTGAAACTGGCAACTTCATTGGATTCAACCTATTGTTATTATTATTGTTGTTGTTGTTGGAATCTCAGAGAGGAGAATTAACCGACCCCAGATACCCAGCTCCAGTGTTAGGAGAAGCCCCTTAGCACGATCGGGAAGCTCGCAAACCCTGGATGATGTTCCCTCCCTGGTTTCCACTCATAGCTCCTTCTCTCCCTCCCCTTCTCCGAGCCTCAGTTTCCTCACTTGTCATGGAGGCTGTAACAAAGAAACTGCCATTTCTTAAGCATTTAGTGTGTTACGGCACTGTGCCAAGCACTCTACCCCTGTCGCCTGAATTTCTGCTCCCAGCCCTGCTCCGATACAGGAGTTACTCAGCGCTGATGCCCACACGGGTCTGAGCTCTGTGTCTGCACATAGCAGAAGCCCAGCTAATGTCGGCTTTTTTCTTGTGACTCTTCTTTCAGGAGCCACTGCATCTGAGCAGGAGGGCACAGTACATCCTGCCACCAGGAGTTAAGCCACCTTCCTCCTGGCCCAGGGAACACAGGCGAGGCAAGAAGAAAACCCACCCGTGGCTCAGTCCTAGGGAACCAAAGGCAGGAGGGGAACTCCAGGCTTCCAGATGTCGCGTTGGGAACGATCAGCACGTCTCCCTTGCAGACACGGATGACCCCTCACGATGGGTGAGTCTGATGCGAGGTTACGCCAGGACCTCTGACTACAGCACGTGTGTCGGGGAGGGAAGGGAGGGGCCGGCAAGAAGCAAAGGCTTGTCACGCACAGTTGTGTTATTCTGATCGCTTTGTTCTCTTGTTCTTTGGTCAAGCGGTTCACTCACTAACCATTCATCGAGCAGGGATTGTTCGACGTGCATCCAGCAGCTTTTGATCTCGCCGTTTTGCACGTTTGTGTGTCTTTTGACTGTTTGAGGGCTGCTGCCTGGGACAGACCCCCGAGCAGCCACTCCTCCACTGGCAGCTAGCGGGGCTCCCTGCGTCCTGGAGGTGCTTGGACACTGATGGTTGAAAAAGAAGGTTGCACTGAGAAGGATGGTGTTGACCCCTGTGAGTTCCTGTCCAGGCACATAGTAGGCACATTGAAAATGCTCCAAAAATCTTGGTCAGATGGAAGTAAATTGGTGCGTAGATGTTCACATTTAATTCCCAAGTCTGGCTGGGGTTTGGGGAGAGGAGAGCTAGGCTCTGTTTTTATTTGCTGTCGCTTTGGTTTGATTTTCACCGTATCGACTTCCCTGCAAGAGAAGGGGCCCCTCAGGTGAATGGCGAGGAACCCCAGATCAGGCCTGGCTTATATTCTCATAACTTTCTCATATTACCAGCTCTGGATACCACCGCACAGGCGGCCTCATTGTGTAAAGGTCCCCCAAGAATCCTGGTGGACCCTGCAACCATCCTAACTCCCCCCAAAACAAATCCCCCAAGCATAACAGCCAGGCATTCCCTAAAGTGAGTGACCCCAAGCACACAAAAGGTGCCCAAAAGGCAAAAAATAATAGCCCTCCTTCATTCCGCCGGAGGCCCGCGATGCAACGCCATAAAGCATTTGATTTAGGATATTAAATGCCGTTGGTGATGAGAACGTCGTGTAAGATTTGCTTTGCGACGTCTTGCTTCTCGAACTGTCATTAAAAATGATTTATAGGTGAGCCCCAGTCTCAGAAACAACACGATTAGAATTGAGGGCTGGGGAGATCGGGTTTCCCCAGGCCGTCTTGCTGCGCTGTCCAGAGTCCCAGAGACCAAAAGCCTGTGAGAGAGACCGCAACCAAGTGTTTTTCAAAGTCAAGTGCGCGCGCGTGGAAGGAACACGTGTTCCCCGCCGAGGGGAAAACAATGAAGCCTTGTGGGACGTTGTAAACTGCTGGTTTCGAAAGGTGGATTCCAGAGGGCTGGGCTGGGGGACGCTCCTTCAGCACAAGCCCACGGATTGAGGTTTCACCTAAGGCCAGATGGGCCGCTGGCCAAACCGGACTTGAAATGAGGTGTCGCTCTCAGATTTTTACATAATAAGGACATGAAGGTCTCATCTGTGTTTTCTCTTTATTGTGTGCCTGGCACTTGTCACAGCAACTCTAGGAATCACATGCTATTATTATTGTCATGTTATCGTTCCTATTTTACAGCTGAGAAAACTGAGGCTCAGAGCAGGGAAGTGTCTTACTCGTAGTTACACAGTTGGAGTGAGAGGATTTGAACCCAGGCAGCCACGCTCCAGAGCCCATTGGCTTAACTCACTGTCGCACGCTGAGTTGTAACTTGTAACTTAAAGTGACTCCAGGTACCCCTTCTGCTTCATTTTGTCCATCTCTCTCTTCCCCCAAAAGTTGCCATTAACTTAGCACCAGCTATGGGCCACCCTCTCGGCTACTTGCTATATGTTATGCTTGATCCTCTTTATAGCTCCGCCAAATTGGAGGTGTACTGTACTGTGTTCAACAGAACATCAGGGCATAAAGTCACACAGCTAATAAGTGGCCAAGCAGGGAATAAAATCAGGTCAGCCCGATTCCAGAGAAAACCTGCTTGCCACGTGTCACCCGGTTCTGCAAAACGAGACGCAAGCATCCTTTTGGGATCTGAGAGTAAGCATGATTCTTATAGATCAGAGTCTGCTGGAAATCATGGAAGCATTTAGAAGTTAGGGTGGGTTGGGGGTTGGGGAATACTCTGGAGTCTGACTACTTTGGGGTCTGGATTGCCTCTGCCGGTTGGACCAAAAAGGGTGAGCTGCTCTGGATGAGCTGGTGGTCTGAGGACTGCAGCCTCTATTTTATAATGATTGCTGTTATTGTTATTGTTGCTATGGTATGGTTGCTATGGTATGGTTAGAGCAGTTTCCCCTTTATAGAAGTCTTCATAAATGTTTGCTGGATGAGCTGAACTGACAGAGATGATGAAAGAAGGAAATGTTTGAAACAAAGGAAGTGAAAAAGAGGAGAAAAACCAATTCATCTGAAATTGCAGATCAGAGAAATAGCCACAGACTTGTTTTGTGTCATCTCTATCGTGTTTATATCAGTCACAATAAATTTGATTGTGCTGCAGTAACAAACAGCCCCCCACATATTTTAGGAGCATAAATAACAAACATTCCTTTTTTGCTCTTCCAACGTGTTCATCCTGTTTCTGCTGGTGGGATCTGTGGGGGTTACTTTGCTCATTTGTTATTATAATAACTCGAGAACCAAGGCAGAGTCCTTATCTCTTTGTGTGCTTCCATTGTAATTGAGGAAATGAGGAGAGTCTGAGGGGATGGTGTGCTGGCTTTTACAGTTTCTACCTGGAAGTGATGTGTGTCACCTCTGCTGACATTCATGGGCCAAAGTGAGTCACATGGCCATGCCCACCTTCAGTGGAGACAAGGAAAGTGCATGTCCATCTCATTCCTGGGCAGGGGCGACTCTAGAAATATTTGGTAAATAACACCTGTGAAAACCACAGTGTTTACCTAGTTTTTAACTAATTGCAAACACTTTGTAACCAAATATTTTGTATCAATTTAGAGATCTAACTTCTCTGCACAGAACTGGAAGATCTGGTAGCACCGGCCCAATGGGGCGAAGCAGTATTGGCCCTTTAGAAGAGGCGTACGCTCTTGATTTTGCCGCTGGCCCCGCCTGGCCCACTTCGCTCATTCTGGTTAGGTGCCTGGCTCCAGGGAGCATTTGGTGTGCAGACGTCCGGCTTGGAAGGATGAAAGTAGCCGCCCGAACTTGCTCCGGCCAGCATTTTGCTTCCATCGCCAGATGCACTTGTAATGTGTTCCCGTCCCAGAGACGAGTAACGCTAACACCCCAGAAGTACCTCGCGGCAGCCCGGGGAGCAGGCCCACTGGCCGCCACACTCCGGCTTGTTGGCAGCAGTGGGAGTCCACAAACCCATGAAGGGAGTATTTAAGGGGTGCTGAAGTTGGGGGAGGAAGGGAGAGCGTGCAGGAGGAGTGGCAGAGCCCCCCCCCCCACTGGTGAGGGGGTGCCGGGCTACTGGGAGCTAAGGCCGGTGGCTGCTTTTCCTGGAATCTCCTATTTCATTTGAGCTGCCACCACATTTTGCAGAGGAGGAGACTGAGACTCAGAGATGTACAATGACTTACCGGAACCATAACTGGAAAACAGCAGACTCCGTGTTTAAACCAGGGTCTGCTGCAACTCTTGTTGTTCCTACCGATGCCGCGCTGGCCCTCGGACGCCAGCTGTTTACCTGGCTGTCGGGCACGGGGCCAAGTGCTGACGGGGAGGAGATAAGCTTCAGTTCATGGTCTTTGCCTTCTTTTCAGCCGAATTCCACTTTACAAGTCTAAGGGTTCAGTGACTCCATTTATTTCATATTTGATTTACAGGTGGTAGTGGGTTGAATGGTGGACCCCCCAAAAGATACATCCCCATCTTAACCCTCAGAACCTGTGAGTGGGACTTTACTCGGGAAAAGGGTCTTTATGGATGTGATTAGGTTAAAGAGCTCTAGGCGGAACCGTCCTGGGTTACCCAGCTGGGCCCTGACCCCAAAGACAAGCGTCCTTGCGAGAGACAGAAGAGGACAGACACAGAGGAAGGTGGAGGCGGAGACCAGAGTCTCGCAGCCACGGGCCAAGGGAGCCAGCACCGCCGGGAGCTGGGGAGACAAGCAGGCGCTCTCCTCGAGCGTTTGGAGGCAGTGCAGCCCTGCTGGCACCTTGATCTTGGGCTTCTTCTGGCCTCCAGACTATGAGAAAAGACATTCTTGCTGTTTTTCAGCCACCGAAATGTGTGGTAATTTGTAACAGCAGCCCCAGGAAGCTAATAAGATATGCTCGTATCACAGATGTGAGAAAGTTGTGTGTTTGGGGCATTGGATTATATGAGTTGGAACCGTTATAGCTTCAGTCCTTTGCCCACCTCCTTAGCTGTCCCCCGCCCCAGGCTCATCCGTGTTCTGATGTCCTGTGCCTCCATCCAAGGCCAGGCCCCATGGTCAAGTGACCTTGTCGGGCACTCGGTACCTGCTACCACGAAGCCCTTCCCAGCCGTCCCCCTGACAGTCTGCACACACTCCCGCCCAGGATCAGTGCTCTGTTAGAAGTCTAGCCCCGGGCCGACAGTATAAGATACAAGTGAAATCCAAGGAAGCTTGTAAACGAGAGTTGCTTCAAATCCCAGCTCTGCCACTCGGCTGCATCTTGGTCTCCTCTTCTGTAAAATGGGCCCACTGTTAACTTCATAGGGTTGAGATGAGGCATCTGTGGGCCAGTGAATGTAAAGCTCTGAGCAGAGGGCTGGCGTTCAATACATGCTAGCAATTATTGCTATTATGGGACCAATTTGAGAAATATAATTATTGGAAAGCTACATTAACTCATCCGACTCAATTTAGTTTAATAAACTCCGCCGTGATGCTGAGGGGATACCGACTGAGATAGAATGCTGCATGTGCTCTGGAAGAAATGGCCAAGATTTTCATCATAAAGTAATTACGCTGGGTTAAACGGTGCTGCTTAAGGAAGGACCAGAGCCTTGCCAAAATACCCAAATGGCCTGTTTGGGGGCGGAAATCTGTGTTAGAGTCCAGTTGAGTAAAAAAGAAAGAGGCCACATCTTAGACTAAGCCCTGTAAGAAGCATGTAGAGAATAAAAGTGCTTCCATATTTCTGTTCAACAAACCAGATGGCAAGAAATGTTAAATCAAAC